CCCCGCCATCTCTAGGGCAGCCACGTCCCCCGCCATACCTAGGGCAGTCACGGTAGGGCAGTCACGTCCTCCTTTTATTTCTCCTTTCATCCACTCATATCTTTTCTCTGCAGTTCACCCACCCAACCCTTTCCTGGTGGCCTCTGCCAGGTCCCCCATTTCTGTTCCCTCAGTCTGGCTTCAGCTCACATTCTAACTCCTTACTGGTCCATCACCATACCCTCTCACTGCCTTCTCTCTCTGCACCCTCCTGGCTCTCAGACCATCTCTGATGTTTCCATCATCCCTGGGCATGGACTCCGCCTCTCAGTCTGGAGTTTTGGTTTTCAAGGTGTCTTTGTTGGAGACAGTGCCCATGAGTCCTGGTGCCCAGGGAGAGCAGATTCTCAGTTGAGGGAACCTAACCTTATTCTTTATTGGTGCAGTTGACGATGAATTCAGAGACTTAAACTGGATTCACAGAACCTGGCTCAGACCCCATTTTATTTACTTATTTTCTTGTTAATGGTGTGTTTGTGTGTATGTGTGCATGCATGTGTGTGTGCCTATGCACAGAGGCTAGAGGTTGACCAGTGGCTTTATCCTTCTTCATTGTATTTTTTGATACAGGGTGTCTCCTTGAACCCAGAGTTTACCTGGCCATTTAGAGTGGCTGGCCAGTGAGCCTCAGGGATCCTCCTGCCCAGGTCTCCCTAGTGTTTTGATTCCATGTGTATCCCTCTTTTATATGGGTGCTGGGGATGAAATTCAGGGCCTCACAGTTGTGCTGCAAGTGCTTTGCCAACTAAGTCATTTCTCCAGCCCCCATTTGGTGGCAGGGTTTCAGGTATCCCAGGCAGAACTTGCTACATAGTCAAGGTTGACCCTGAACTTCTTTCTCAATCCTCTTGCTCCAGCCTCCCAGGGCTGGGCTTACAGGCCTGTATCACCAGCTCTGTTGGGGACTGAATTTGGGACTTTGTGCATCCTAGGTGATTGCTCTACTGACCCAGCTGCACCCTGAGCCTTTGTTTAATAGCCATTAATTTGGATGCCCTGGCAAGCCTGTCTCTCATCCGAGTCTCTTTTAGGAAATATTCATCAGAACAGTGCTCTTGCTGGCTCCCACATGAAGTTGGTTTTTTTTTTCCCCTGAAACACAAGGTTACCTTTTCAAGATCTCGTAGTAAATGACGGTGGTTAGATTCATTGCACACAAATAGGCTATGCATGAGAAAGACTGTCCCATTCTCCAAGACACAGATGTTGGGTCTTGTTACAGGATCACAAGACAATCTACAGGAGTGTGATCTGGTGGGGAACTCGGTCTACAGAGCTCTGGGAACACCTATCTTTTGGATAGTCACTGTCAATTCTGTAGAAACGCTGTGAAGCCATGGCTCTTCTCCCTTCAATAATGGGATTTGCCCTGAAATATCCCAGCAGTGTATATCATTCGTTGAGATAACTTCTTCCTGTTCGGGCAATGATCACGTCCCACACTGTGGGGCTCTGGAGCGGAAGCATCTACTCAGCCAAACTTTTTTTTCTTATAGTCAAAGCCATAGAAGGTTATGCCTATCCACAGGACTTTCACAAAGGAAGGAGGCTTGGTGTAATCTCCTGGCCTTTGCTCTATTCCAACAAGCTATAACTATTCTGTATTCACCCTTCACCTTAGTTTCAATTAACACAAGATCATAGCCTAGGAGACTGTTTGTGCC